AAAGTAGCATATTTAATGCAAAATAAAACAACAACAACAAGTTGGAAAAATTAGGTTAATTTTTTTTTGCCAAATGAAAAACGCAGGGCAGGCATTAATTTCAAAGGGAAAACTGTGGAAACTAAAGGCTGAAAAGGGAAGCCTCATATGAATTATAGAATAGAATAATATTATTAATCAAATAATATTGTCAACTGAAATATTTAAATAAGCACCCATACCTAAAGAAAACTTCCATCTATTGAAAATTCAAAGAACTTTTGGTTCCGCCTGACCTGCAACCAGACTCAAGACTTAACGCCTTGTAGACTTTTAGATTCATATCGAATTGTTTCATTTTCAGAAAACAGTGGCATTTAGCATACTTCCGTTTGTAAACCAAATATGGAAGGGGGAAGAGTGGGGAAGAGGTTAGCACCCCCACCACCCTGTCAGTAAACATGTTGTAAATAAAAACCACAAATCAATTCGGATAAAATGAACCGTTAATGGTGGGGAATTTCCAAATATGGGGACAATATGCACCATTGATTTTATACGGAGCGTAGTCTTGCAGAGAGCGAGAGAGAGAGGGGATGGGTGTGGGAAAATTACACATTCCAGCTAATTTTTGATATGAGAACTTAGAATTCTTGACGAAAAGATGTTATTCAAAACAAATATCTTAAGGTGAGACTACATAAAAAGCTTTTTTCGAATAACTTAGGTCATCGGCTGGCTTTTTCGGAAAAGAAGAAAGAAGTGTTGGGCCAAAATCGAACTAAGTCAACCTAAAACTCCTTTGTTCCTCTACGAAGAAGAGCTTTTTATGTGCTCTCACCTTTAATGTTCCTCGTCCTTTTCGTCGAATAATTATTTGTTGATACTACTGACCGTCTGCTTGCAATAATTATACATTTTCCATTGTGGTGAGTCACTCAAATGGTCAGTCGCGGTATCTATTGTAGGGTGAAGAGGGATCGAATAATCAAAAAGGAAATAAACAACAAAAATGAAATGAAACCGACAAACACGACATACGACCATGACAAGAAAACTTGCTGTTATAATTCCCGCACTTTGCCCGCCCATCCTTTATCCTTTGATCCAAATTAAAACAAAAGAAAGGTCCCCAAATTCCATTAAAATTTACCGCACAGTTACTTAGAGCCAAGGTTTCCATCTCAAAAAAAAAACCATTAAAGATGGGAATACAAAAAGCGCTTATTTGACTGGCTTCTTCGAAAATGAACAACGGAGCCTAGGGCCAAAATCGAACTAAGTCAACCTAAAACTGCTTTGTTCCTTTACGAAGAAGCCAGCCGATAACTTATGCCAGCCAAATAAGCGCTTTGAGTATTCGCACATTAAGTTCGGCCGGGCCGAACTTTGAATGTCCTCCACCATTTGGAACAAATTTGGAAATTTTCAAAAAAAAAATAAATAAATAAATAAATGGATTTTAAAAATTCTGTTAAAATCTTAAAAATACTGAATATAGCTGTTATATAGGGGTCTATACCAAGACATGGACCTGCATAGGCAACTTCAGTCATAAGCCCTTACTTGGAAAAAATCCGGTGAATAATTTAGCTAAAATCATCAAAATACCGGTATAGGTAAATAGGTATAGAATACGAAGACCTGGACCTGCATAGACAATTTTCCGTCACAGGTTACAGTACCTATTAGGAACTTCAAATACAAAATTTGAAATTATTCCGGTAAATAATGTCGCTAAATTCATCAAAATACCGAATATCGGGAGGTGCCGTTATATGGGGGCTATACTAAGACGTGGACCTGCACAGACAATTTTCTGCCATAGGCTGTAGTATCCATTACGAACTTCAACTACTAAATTATAAACAATTCCAGTGAATAGTGTCGCTAAGACCATCGAAATACCGAATATAGGGATGTAATGTTATATGGGGGCTATACGAAGACGTGGACCTGCACATACAATCTCCTGTCATAGGCTGTAGTATCCATTTGGAACTTCAAATACCAAATTTGAAACAATTCCGGTAAATAATGTCGCTAAAATCATCCAAATACCGAATATATTGAGGTACCGTTATATGGGGGCTATACCAAAACGTGGACCTACATGGCCCATTTTCAATACCAAAAGTCCTGCAGACATAATATACGTTTGAGTAAAATTTTATCAATCTATTTAATTTCGTTCGGAAGCTAGAGTGATTTCCACGGACGGATAGACGAACGGACATCGCTAAATCGACATAGAATTTTATGCTGATCAAGAATATATATACTTTGTGGGTTCTAAAATGTATATATCAAGTTGTTACAAACGAAATGACAAACTTTATATACCCTTCATACTATGGTGGAGGGTATAAAAAAAACAAAAGCACTTTAAATTTGCGTCAATTTGCATCACCAAAGACATAGAAGTATAAAGATGGGACAAGACAGAGTCAAGATATGGCAACCCTCTGAAAATACCTCTGTTGTTATGATATTGTAACAACATAGTTAGAAATGTTATGCGATTTAAACCGCTTAGGCAATATGCAATTAATTTGGAAAGTCTATGGAATAGAATTTTGAAACCCAATTTTTGGATTTTTCAAACTTTTGTTTGTCATTTTTTTCTACAAATAAATTTTTTTATATTAACATGGTCCTGCCATAAGCTGTTACCCAGACAGTATAGACACAAACCATTTGCTCAGAATGCATTTTGTCTAGTCTTTACCATTTTAGGTCTTTGGCATCACAACAAATAGGGTGCAGAAGGTACGAAAAAGACCCATCAGTGTTACCACATTTGCAAATTATTTCCATTCATTTATTCATGGTTTGAGAAATGATCTCTCTCGAGAAAAATGTTCTTACTGTGGGTATAGAATTCTGCTCGAATATTTAAATAAATAAAATTAATTTTTTGAGAATATGTGAGACTAAGCAGTCAATTTACCGGCATCCCTAAAAAAACGCTGATCCCAAAGTATTTAATATTTTCTAAATTTTTAACTCTCCTCTCACATTACCTTAGCCTGCATATTCTTGCTCCATTTGCTTTGCAATCCGCATACTCTCCATGCTTCATTTCAATTATCAGCGACAGATAAAACTGTCACGAATTCCTCAGATTTACATGGATCAAGTTAGTGACGTGGGCTATTTGGTTATGGATATTCTATAGCAAAAAAATCAAAATAAAATTCCAAAGAAGGTAATTGAGAAATGACTCAATCTCGAAGTGTGTGCCTGCGTCTGTTTGTATACATTTATGCCTATGTGGAATTGCATTTCTGGATGATATAAAAAATAAATATTTACGACAATCAGAATGTTTCCAGATGACTGGATCTTTGTTTAATGTGTCCTCCATGTTGCCTCCAAACAATGCCGACGATGGAGGCAATGCAGGCCCGACGAAAAAAAAGGTTGAACATGACTAAGACAAGGTTTCAAAAAACGAGTAACATTTAAAAAATAATAAGAGTTCAAAAAACTAACATTTTAAAATCTGGCTACCTGCAAGGGTTTTGAAGGAAATTTTGAACGGGAAAGCATCACCAAACATCCGTTAATTATTAACTGCATTATCAGGTAATTAAGTTTGGCAAATAATGCCTCATAATTATACCCTACACCACAAAGTGGTCAGGGTATTATGTCTTTGTGCATTTGTTTGTAACAGGCAAAAGGAAACGAGATAGACCCATAGTTCCTTTTGATGATCTGCATAGAATCGCATTCTGAGTCGATTTATGCATGTCCGTCCGTCTGTCTGTCTATCTGCCCGTATGTCCATGTATTTTTGTAAACAAAGTACAGTTCGCATTTATTGCCCTATCCAGATGAAATTTTGCACAAATCATTTGTTTGGCCCAAGGACGAACCCTTTTGAAATTGGAGATAATCGGTCAAAATTTAGATGTAGCTCCCATATATATCTTCGTCCGATTTGCCTTTTATTGGGCACCAAACGTGTAATATCAACCCGAATAGTATGGAATTTTGCACATACAACCAAATTAGGCCTGAAAATAAGTATGCCAAATTTGATCGAAATCGGTTCAGATATAGCTATAGCTCCCATATACATTGTTCATCCGATTTGTTGTATTTTTGTCCTCCGCAGCCGTAATATGCACTCTATATCAACAATATTTGGGGAAATATATAAAATACAGCCCAGAAATACATGTGCCGAATTTTATCGAGATCGGTTCAGATTTGGATATAGCTGCCATATATAACTTCGTCCGATTTACCTTATATTGTGCACCAAACGTCTAATATTTTTCCAAATGGGATGGAATTTGGCAATTAGAACCGAATTTTGTCTAGAAGCTAGTGTGTCAAATTTGGTGAAGATCGGTTCAGATGTAGATATAGCTCCCATATATATTGTTCATCCGATTTATTATATTTGTTACCCACAGCCGTAATATGCACTCCGTAACAACAATATTTGGGGAAATATATCAAAAACAGCTCAGAAATATCTTTGTAAAATTTTATGGAGATCGCTTCCGATTTGGATATAGCTCCCATATATATATCTTTATCCGATTTCAAATTAATTGAGCACCAAATGGGCAATACGAATCCGAATTTAAAAAATACAAATGCTTCGGCATATTTAGTCCTTTGAACTTTAAATTATAATCATAGCGTGTATGTTTGAATTCTCCCATAAAAACTTTTAATTGTTATGCGGAGCTCTACTAAGTTAGCAAAGTGGTGTAGGGTATCATAAAGTCGGCCCCGCCCGACTTTAAGACTTTCTTTACTGGTTTTCATTATTTTTATGCTCTGAATGGGCTTTAAAGTTACTCATAATCTGTTCAAAGAAGCCCCCTTTTGATGTGAAGTTTTTTTGCTTTTAAAGCCATGACTCAGTTTAAGATTCCTTTGTGGCCGCCTTTTTCACACAAAACGACTGCCTGTCCATTTGTCATTTGGTTAACGGTTTGTCATTTATCTTACGTGTTATTCTGTGTTTCTCTCTCTCTCTCACACTCTCTCTTACTTACCAGTACTATGTCCAAATTCACAATAACAATGATCGTTGATGAATTGTGGTCCCAGACAATATTTGTTGACCTTTTCCGTACAGCGCACAGCATTGCAGGAACTATCGGATTGGAGACCTGAAAACAAGAAAACAAGAATTGTTTTGAAATCTGTCGACATTGAAAAAATACTTTTAAATTCAGTAAAGCGGGAAAACCGAAAGATAGCGGAGAAACGAACCAGTAGAAAGAATAAAGGTGAGAATACAAACAAGTAGAAAAGCTGTAAGTTCGGCCGGGCCGAACTTTGAATACCCTCCACCATTTGGTACAAATTTAACAATTCTCAAAAAAATAAAATCCCTTAAAAATTCTGTTAAAATCTTAAAAATACCGAATGTAATCGTATATTAGGGTCTATACGACGACTTGGACCTGCATCGGCAACTTTTGTCACAAGCTATTACAATATTCAAATGCGAAACTTGAAAAAAAATCTATTTATAATGTAGCTAAAATCATCAAAATACTGAATATTGGGAGGTACCTTGGGGGTTATAAATGGACCTGCCCAGACAATTTTCTGTCATAGGCTGTAGTATCTATTACGAATTTCAATCACAAAATTTGAAAAAATTCCGGTAAATAATGTCGCTAAAATCATCAAAATACCGAATATCGGGGGGTACCGTTGCATGGGGGCTATACGAAGGCGTGGACCTACATGGCCCATTTTCAATACCAAAAGTCCTGCAGACATAATACACATTTGAGTAAAAGTTTATCAACCTACTTCATTTCGTTCGGAAGCTACAGTGATTTCTGAATATTTCTATATTCTCCAGAAATTCCACAAATTTCTTGTGGTTTTCGAAAAAAGGAGCTGAATATTAGATTTTCTTTCCAATTTTTTTTTTAAATATCGATTTTTAGTTTCAAAATTTTCTGAATATTTTTAGCTACAGCTAGAAATTCTAAAAATTTCTTGTGTTTCATTTATTTTCCACATACTCACCATCATAGAAGCTCTCATTCAACTGCTTCAGCGCATTTATTGCATCCTGCCGCGTCACCTGATGTTCGAACAGAAACTCTTCGTAATTCGTTTGCGGATCTTTGGATTGTAAATCATTTTTATCACAGAGAATACATGACTGAGGTGCAGCCAGTGTGGTCGACATGGCATGGAATAGCACCAGTACGGAGGCGATTATCAGACAATGACGCCATGGCATGACCATGAGCCCACCACCAATGCCAAGACGAAGGCTGCAGCAGGAAAAATGCTTATGCAGGGCATTTGAAGTTGGCAGTGGAGAAGAAGAAGACGCTCTAAAGTGACACGAATTTGTGGAACCACCGATAGCACTTGGATTACATTGTCGGCGTCTTCTTCGGTGGTGGTGTTCTTGTTTTTCTTCTTCGGAGGAGGATTTGGATTTTGGAACTCTGCGATAACACTGTTTTAAATGATAAACGACATCATCATCATCTGCATCGTCATTTGAATATGAATCTCTGTGTTTGCTTTGGCTGTTTGTTGTTCTATTTGTTTGTGGATTTTCCATGGACGTTGATTTATCACCGCTTTTGCTGTGTGGTTCTACCGAGAAGTCCGCCATATCAGTTTTATGTTTGGGAGTTTTAAAAGTGGGTTACAAAATTTATTTTCACTTTTTTTTCTGGAGAGCTTTTTTTAAAAAAAAAAATTCACTTAGTTATCACTTGTTGTTGTTGTGGATTTTTGTTGTTGCATTTTCATAGTATTTATCGAACATTGACATTTTGTTGTTGTTATAGTTTAGTTTTCGTTCTTGTTGTTGTTTTTCAATTCCAGCTTTATTTGTTGCAGTTTGTGTGTGTGTTTGTGCGGATTATGATTCACTTGCCGCTAACGAGGAGGAGGAGAAGAAGAAGGAGGACTGGTTATTATTATTGTTGTTGTTGTTATTCATATGTAATTCAATACTTTTTCGCCCATGCCGGAAAACTGAAAAGTTGTGTTTTTTTTTACAGAATTGAGTAAATTGAATGCGAGTTTAGAAATTTGTAATGTTTGGTATTTCCAGGCCTGGAATGTTGAGGAAATTTTGGATTGGGAAAAATTTTTGAAAAAAAAAATTTTTTTTTTTTTTTTCAAAAATATTGGCAAATTTCAATTTAAAAAGTAAAAAGTAGTATCAGTCGGTTTTGCCGACCGATTTACAAAATTTGAGGAGAATTTGAAGCTTACTTCGCTTTCTATGAGCGTTTTGTTTTTTAAAGTCTTGAACCCTTTGTGGGGGAGGTACCAGAAGGAATGGTCTGATCTCTACCATTTTTGTAACAGATCTTGTGTTGATGGAAATATTGAGATGTGCCAAGTCTTAATGGAATCGGGCGTTATTTTCGCGTTCTATGACCTTCAAGGATATTACAAATGTTGACCCTTTGTGGGGGAGGTACCCGAAGGAGTGGACCGATATATTTCATCCTCACAGCAGACCTTGGGTTAATAAAAATATTGTGATGTGTGAAATATAAAGACAACCGGATGCTTATTTTGGATTTTATAAACGTTTTGGTTTTTCGAAATTTTAAGCCTTTGTGGGGGAGGTACCAGAAGAAATGGTACGATCTCTACCATATTTATAACAGATCTTGTGTTTATAAAAAAATTTAGATGTACCAAGTCTGGAATGAAATCGGATGATAATTTCGAGTTTTATTAGCTTCATGAATATTCAAAATGTTGACCCTTTTATGGGGGAGGTACCAGAAGAAGTGGACCGATATATTCCATCCTCACACCAGATCTAGGGTTAATAAAAATATTGTGATTGTGTGTAATTTGAAGACAATCGGACTCTTACAACACATTTTATAAGAGCTATAATTATTCACAATTATTCCCCCTTTGTGCGGGAGGTACTTGATGGAGTGAAGCGATATCGTCTATTTTCTCACCTGACCTAGCACTGATGCAAATATTAGGATTTGCAAAGTTAAAGCAAAATCGTATGATCCTTTCTCTTTCTGTGCAGTAAATTATTTTCTTTGAAAATTATGTCATTTTGTGGAGGAGATACCAGAAGGAGTGGAGCGATATTGCTCATCTCTCAACTTGATCTAAGTTTGACAATAATATTACGATGTACGAAGTTTGGATCAAATCGGATAATCCCTTCGAGAGTTATCGTGCCCACCAGCCAGCCGGACAGACAATCGGACATCGTTAGATCGACTTCAAATGTCCTGATTTGGTCCAAAGAGAGAGGTCTAAAAGCGTTATTTCGACTAGGCATGTTTTGGCCGTATCAAATGATATATACACTCTGTAGCCATAAAGCTGAGGGTATATAAACAGGGTCGGAAAACAAAGAAGATGAAATTTTTTGTTTTATGTATAATTTTTTTATTTTTAAATATTAATCCATTATTTATTTTCAAATATTAATTCATTTATTTAGTATTTTTCATTTAAAAATTATTTGTTTTTCTTTCTTTACTGAAATTTTAAATTATTTTTATTTTTTTAATTTTAAAATATTTTGTTATTAATTTTTTTATATTTTGATTTTTTTTTTTGTTTCTATGTTTTAATATTTTAAAATTTGCCATAAATATTTTTTGAGATATTTTTTTTAATATTTTTATTTATTTTTTTTTTTTTAATTTATGTTTATTTTTTAATATATATATTTTAATATATATTTCGTTCGCTTTTATAATTAGCACATTTTTTTATAATTTATTTATTAGTTTGTATTTAATTTTCTAAATATTTTTGGTTTTTTATTTCCTTTGCTATATTTTTGTTTAATATTTTCAAGACTTTTTTTTATATTTTTTTATTGTCATAATTATTATTTTTTTTTTTGGTATTTTTAATTTTTTTAATTTTACTCTCCTTTCCATTTTTTATTAAATATTTTTTTAAATTACATTTATTTTTATTCTATTTATATTTTTTCTTTTTTAATTAAGTTTCATATTTGTAACACTTTGTTTATTTATTTATCTTTATTGGTATGCTCTAATATTATATTCAGTTCCTTTTTATTATATTATAAGAATTATAATTATAAATATTAATTTTTTAGTCTAAAGTTCTTATTTTGCATTTTTCCTAGTGTAATAGTTTTTATTTATTTTATGGCTTTTATTTTTTTTTATTTCACAATAACCAATTTTTATATTTTTTTTGTTTTTTTTTTTAATAAATTTGTTCACTTTTTTAAAATGGCCACATCATTTATTATTTTATACTTTTCGTTATTAATTTCCGTTTACTAAATAATTTTCTTTACACACACCTTTATACTCTTCTTTTCTTTTTTTTTGTAATGGCAAATACTTTTCCAAACGATTTTTATTTTCTTTATTTAAAAAATCGCTTTGTATCCGTCTTATTAATTCGTTATATGAAAATATTCTATCGTTTTGTACCTTTCGTTTTCGAAACCGAAAGCGAAAAAATATAATGCGCGCAATAATCGTATATCGTCTACTTCCGTTTGTGTATCACGATGTTCTGTCTCTGTTCGTGCTTTTTCGTGTAAGAAAATATAAAATATAAATTCGCTCTGGCCAAAAAAATGCACAACAAATGGTTGCTCTTTTGCTCACAAACCAGCAGCAAAAACAACAACAATTATGACCACCCTCCACCATCCAAACTAAGTTTTCTCTGTTAATAGTGGTGTTAAGCTCTTCACTAAAAAGCACACACACACAAACGCTTTCAAAACATAAGGGGGGTCTGTCTCAGCATGTTTACCATGGAGAGTGCTAATAAACAGTAACAAAAAGGAAACGGCAACATACACTGTTGGCTGTATTGGGGGGTTTAGTTTGTTCTTGTTGTTGCTGCTGTTGTTATTATTGTATACTCTTCTAAGTAGCCGGTCTCTTGAATTGTTGCTTTGCGTTATTGTTGTTTTTATTTCTTTGTGTAATTGCATAGTTAGTGGGGAGCGTGCTACTCACAATTTTCCCTTAACTCATTGCAACAAAAGAGAAATGAGTATGCCCAGTTGCTGTTAATGAAAGAGTACAACACAAAGTACCGTACCGCTCATTGTTATGATAATGAAAGAGAAAGAGTAATGCAACAAAGGGAATTTGTTGAATAGTTCTTTGAATGGAAAATAAAAAGTGAATTTTTACACTAGACAACAAAGAAAAGGTGGGGAAAATGAAAACGAAGCTGATTTAAGTCTTTTTTATACATATCATGTTTTAATAAAAAGGGTTATTAATACTGCCAACTTCATGGATTATTTGTCAATGTCGGCGTGGACATTCCAACAGGATTCAGCACTATCGCACTCAGCACACGCCACCCAAGAATGAGGTTACAATTCCAGCGCACAATGGCCCGCAAAATCTCTGGATACCAATCCGTTGGAATATTGTGTCTGGAGTATTTTGGAACGCAAGGTTGGCACTAAAAATACCAAAGTGTCGATCACCTCAAGCAAGCGCTTCGCCGGAAATGGACCAAAATACCGCAGAGCAACATTCAGGCAGCGTGTGACGGGCGGTTTCATTGGCCGTTTGAAGGCCATAATTCGTGCCAAAGACGACCAATTCGAACAAATCTAAACTTATTCTAAAATTTGATGCAATTTTCGACATTTGTTGCTTTCATTCAATAAATGTTTTTAAAAAAGTGTTAAAATTATGACTTTTGACTTTGTTGCAGTTTTTTATCTCACCCATATTTCGTAAATATATGTTGCTTTGTTTGCATGACTTTTATGATAAAATATATTTATTTTTCCCCCAAATATTAACATCCGTTCCCAAAATGATATCAACATTGGCAAATATGCAGTTCAAAACACTTTTCGGTTATTTGCAAAGTCAATAAAACTGCGCATATGTTGTCAAAAAAAAAAGGTAAAATATTGATAACAATATTTATTGCTCCACTTTGTTTTATCTTCATGATGGCGGTTGCAAAACATGGGGGTATTGCAATGACAATTTTATGGGGAATTCAGAATTATTCATAATAGAGGTCTTTACTCTTGTAAAAGGCTTCAATGTAAACGTGGCCTAAATCGGTCAGTTGTAAATGTTTTATTTTTGTTCGCTTGATTATTGATGGGAAGTAGCTCCCTTTAATGAACTAGTTCATTTGGTTCCTTTCAGTGAATTGTGCAAAGGAAATTTTAAGGTGACTTTAGAATTATTCATGGCCGTGTTTTTTTTTTACCGTGGTAAAGGGCTTAGATGTAAACATGATCTATATCAATTATCTCCAAATATTGTATTTACTCGCTTTATTAGTAATCAGAAGTCGCTTCCTTCAATGAACAAGTTCATTTTTATACCCCCAGCCATATGGCTAGAGAGGGTATACATCGTTTAATACAGCCAAAACGTGCTTTGTCGAAATAGCGGTTTTAGACCCTAGGTCTCTTTTTAGCCAATCCGTTTCAATCCGTCTGCCTGGCTGGTGCGCACGACAACTCTCGAAGGGAGTATCCGATTTGATCCAAACTTGGTACATCGTAATATTATTGTCAAAATTGGATCGACTTCGGAGATGGACAATATCGGTCCACTTCTTCTGGTACCTGCCCCACAAAATGTCAACATTTTCAAAGAAAATACTTAACTGCACAGAAAGAGAATGGATCATCCGATTTTGCTTCAACTTTGCAAATCCTAATACTTCCATCAATGCTAGGTCAGGTGCGAAAATGAACAATATCGGTCCACTCCTTTTGGTACCTCTCCCACAAAGGGTCAAAATTTTGAATATCCATGGAGCTCATAAAACACGAAATTAACCTCCGATTCCATTCAGACTTGGCACTGCTCACCATTCAACACAAAATCTGTTATAAAGATGATAGAGATCCGACCATTTCTTCTGGTACCTCCTCCACAAAGGGTCAAAGTTTCAAATAACCAAAACGATTATTAAAAACGCCCGGTTCCCTTCATATTTCACACATGCCATTATTTTCACTAACACAAGATCTGCTGTGAAGATGAAATATGTCGGTCCACTCCCTCTAGTACCTCCCCCACAAAGGGTCAAGATTTTGAATAGCCATGAAGCTTATAAAACGCGAAAACAACATCCGATTCCATTCAAACATGGCAAATCTCAATATTTATATTAACACAAGATCTGTAATGAAGATGGTAGAGATCGGACCATTTCTTCTGGTACCTCCCCCACAAAGGGTCAAAGTTTTGAATAACCAAAAATATTATAACATTTAAAATAAGTATCCGATTCTCTTTAAATTACATACATCACAATATTTTTATTAATCCAAGGTCTGGTGTGATGATGGGATATATCGGCATACTCCTTCTGGTCCCTCCCCCCAAAGGGTCAAAATTTTGAGTAACCATGAAGCTCATAAAACACGAAATTAACATCCGTTTGCATTCAGACTTGGTACATCTCAATATTTCCACTGACACAAGATCTGTTAAAAAGGTGATAGAGATCCGACCATTTCTTCTGGTACCTCCTCCACATAGGGTTCAAGATTTTGAAAAACAAAACTCTCATGGGAAGCAAAATATCCATCCAACTCTCTTCAATTTCTTCATTGATCACCACCTCAATCATAACAGGTCTATGTTTTTTTTGTTTTTATTTTATTTTTTTCAATCTATTCCCACCTCTGCATCCATTATTAGATGATTTGAAAACCCAGTGCCCTATAATGTCTGGATAAAAATAAAACTTTGTTTGTCTTTTGTTTCTTGTGCAATTTTGTTTATTTATGTAGTGGCTGTGGCTTCTTCTTCTTCTCCTTTTTTCATGTTGCTTAGCTACCGCCACATAGTTGTTCTTGTTATTGTTTGCTGTTTATTTTATTAACATGATCTCTGTGTTATTTTTAAAACTCAAGAAGAAGAAGAAAACAAATGGGAAAATAATAGGTTATAGTAGTACTATAAAATGCTAAAATGTTTACAAGTTTGTGTGCATGTGTGTGCCTTTGTGTTTGCCCAAACGATTTAATTTTCCTCTGGGCCAGACAAAAAAAAAATATTTGTGATTGGGCAGCTACAGGTTGCTACTGCTTCAGAGAAAAAAAATTCAATAGATTTTCTATAGAAAATATACATTTTAGAGGTATTCTATGCATAGGTGAACTTCTACAGGGATTCCATATCAGGGTAGATGAATACAGGTAGCCGTATCGACACAGCTGCTGGGACAATGAACTGTCAAATCAATTTTGAAATTAAAATTTTTAAATGAAAAATTATTAAAATTTGTAAAAATTCTTTAAAAAAAATGCATATCATAACAACCTCCGATTGGTGTCGGGTAGGAAACCTTATATAAATCTGCTTATTTTTGAAGAACCCCATGCTGAATTCACGTTTATTATACAGCACATAAAAACCTTTGAAATTTAAAAAAAAAAAAGTTCATGTGAGCCATTTTTCAAAGAAGTTCGTCACACCAATGACAAAATTTCAAAATTGACAAGTTTGAAATATCGCGAAGAAACTTGTATCTCCCCATCCGATAAATGTCAAACCATTAGCAACATGTTTGAACAGATTTCAACATTGACAATTTGTCTATGTCCAGACATAAAAACATCAACTATTTATGGATGTTTTAAGGAGAATTTTTTGAGTTTTCTCATTAGATAACGTATTTAATTAAAAATATTTTGTTTGCATTGAATCTGGAAATATAATTTTCAATTTACCATTCAACACCTTAAAATATCATTTGGGAAATGCGCCTCACAAGTCCCCCCCCCCCCCCCCCATGAGACTCATTTGTGGACAATCAAATAATTTGTTTCTACAACATTTTTGAAATAATCCAAATGTTTGGCTAAATGGCATGCCTTACGCCTATCCACCCATCCCTCCCCCACTCCACAAACAATTTCACCTTTAAGGCGGAAATATAAAAGTCATCATTTGACTCATTCCCCACCCTCGGCAAAGTTGTTTCAAAATGTCTTTTTCATTTCATTCGTCACATTTTCATTTTGGAGAAAATTTTCAAAAAAAAAAAAATTGTCAATAGATTTTGAATGAGATTTTAATGGCGGTAGAGACATCAAAAGATTAGCATAAATATTGGTGATGATGAGGCGTTCCAATGGAGACACATATATATTTATTTATGGACAATTTGGAAATGACACCTTAATTGCGTTTTTGTATCAGATGTGACGTATACAGAATTATGAAAATGTTTCCGGAATAGGGGAAAATTTAAGAGATATTCTTCCTATAGAAAACCTCAAGATGTAGTTTTTATAAAAATTAAGTAATTTTCTCAATAGAAGAATACAGGTATGTGCATCAACGCTTGGGAACATTGATGTGTCAAAAAATTTAAAAATGTTTAAAAAAAAGTAGATTTTTATAAGTTTCCCTACACGACATCAATCGGAGGTGGTTATAATATACATTTTTCAAAACTTTTTACTAATTTTAATAATTTTTCATTCAAAATATTCAATTTCAAAATTGGTTTGACAGTTTATTGTGCCAGATGCGTGTATTCTTTTACAATGATATATTATGAAAGTTG